GAGACAAGCAGAGGTGTCAAGCGGGGTCCGCGGGGCTCTGCCGGGCCCCTCCGCGCCGATCACCGCCAAGGGGCCCTTTCTCCTTGCGAAACTATGGCAAACCCCCAATTTAAGAAAAAAAAGGCTTTTTAAATCTTAAAAATGTCTCCTTCGCTCCACCTCTTTGCTGATGGGGCTGAGGAGGGGGTGTTCTCCCGGGGCCCCCACAGACGCATCCCCCCGAGCGTGGCCCCGTGCAGCCCCCGTACCCCATGGCACAGAGCACCGCCGCGGCCAGCACGGCCCCCAGGCTGGCGAGGATGGAGGCGATGACAACCACGTCGCTGCCGTGGCGCACGGGTGCGGGGTCGATGGTGCTCGGGCTGCCGGCTGGAAGGAGGCAGGATGAGGGACGTGGGGGGACACGGGGGGCTCAGGGTAGCGCGATGGAAAGGGGAGAGATAGGGTGGCTGGGGGAGATCGGGGACTTCTTCTCCCCTCTGGGTTTTGGGGTGATGGCATAGGGCCGATGCCGTGCCACATGCCGGCACCCCACCTGGGGAGGTGTGGGGGACCCGCGGGGGGACGGCCGTGCCACCAGTACCTCTCCGCAGGAGGATGGGGTCAGACCACCTCGTCTCCGCTTTGGGGCCGTGGCAGCCCATCACCAGGAACTTCACCCTGCGGGATGGGTACGGCATGAGCACACCTTCCCTGGGGAATTACCGCAGCCAGAACCTGGGGGGGTCCATCCCGCCAGCCTCACCTGTAGGGCCCTGGGGAGGGCAGGGGCCCGTTGCAAGGGTCCCGGCCGCCCTGGCCCCCGCACACTGTGTCACCCCCAACCCGCAGGACGGCCGGGCTCGATGCCGAGCAGGCGTACGTGGCCGCTGCCGTCTCCAGTGTCATGTAGGAGTGGGCGGTGGGCAGCTGCTCGTATGGGGGCACGTCGGCCCGGGACGGGGGGTTTCTGAAGGCGGCCGAGGCTGCGTGGCACAGATGAGGGGTGAGCGGCTGCGGCGAGGGTCCCCCACGTCCCCCCACCATGGCAGGGAGCATGTGCCAGAGCAGCGGGCACTCACCGTTGGCGAAAGCCACTGCCAGCCAGATGGTGTCAGAGGCGTTGGCGTGCCGGTCGAAGACGCAGCAGGGCCTCTCCAGTGCGAAGGTGGTGGCGGTGAGCTTCCCTGGCAGCGCCGCGGGGGGCACGCGGGGCACGTAGGGCAGCAGGGCTGGGGGGGCAGGC